ATTCCAAAACATACATACAATAACTGCTTGAAATATTTTCCTATATATAATTAATTATGCAGTGGTATACCGATGGAAAGATCGATGATTCTGGGCGAAAATATGTGGTATTCCAGCGTTAACCCAACATTTTTCTAAATGAAGCATCCTCTTGGACCGACTGGCTTTGAAAAACAACGTTGCTAGAATTTACTGGGACTGTACAACACTAAAAAAGTCCAGGTGCGTCTAATAGGAACCTAAAAGATGTTTATCATGCTAACAATTTACTAGACTTCATCAAATTGTTTATCGTGACACTTTACTGCATGCACTTCATCAGAAACTATGTAATGAAAATGAGGTTTTTACAGTAATAATAACTTTGGCGACAAGATCGCCCAGGAAGATAAGTTTGTACTATCCTTAAAATCTAAACGACAGGAATCTATAAATACATTATTGTGCCTGTAAGATAAAACAGGTGATGACCTTTTTCTTTATAATTTTCTTCTCACTTATCAATATAAGAACGCAAATTACATAATTAACCGTATTTTACATAGGGTCTTCAATATTTGCTACGCATAGTATTACAGAAATGAAGATGGAAAGGTATTAAGATAACATCCAACCTTGATGAAACTTGACATGCTTATAAACTATCAAAACTTTATTCTAACAGTAAATTTATGGTCAATTACTATGTGCCCAGTCCCCCTTCATAATGCTATAAATATAGCAACTTGGGTAGATTTTGCCAATTTGGCATACCTAGTTCGTTCAACCATTTATTTATTTTCTGTTCGCCATATTTTGCCACTAGGTGGTCTAAACTACAGGTAATAATTATAATTTATACTTATTAAATATCTAACATACCATCAGCCAGCATTATCGCATTACAATTAAATAACACGTGGGAGTGTCAGGTTTTAAAATTGAATGCATGGGTAGAAGTTACGTTACTTTCATTATTCGAATTCTTATTTTAATAAGCAAAAGAACGATTATAATTTTTAAGCCTGGATCTGCTGTTCAATATTTCTATGGTCTGGTTCGTTACGAGAAAGTTTATCTGATTATGTTATGCTTTCAAATGAACCATGGCCATTTTGCTTGCTGCCACAAAAAAACAAAAGGAAATTGCATCCGGAAGGTTTAACTACAAAAACAAAATAACGCCAGTCAAGTAACCCAAAAAGAATAGAAGAAGTCCCATAAGTTGACACGTTTACCCTTATTTTTAGTTATTTTAACCAAAACACCTAACTACAAAAAGCCAAGACCACCTTTCTTTATTCTTACGAAGACGAAAAATACTTCCCCGCTATTTGTAAAGATCTTCTTCTGCGATACACTTTCTGTGGTTACGCAACTTCACTACCATTACTTTTAAATAGACGGCTCGGCATGGCCAGGTGGTTAGGGCGCTCAACTCGCAATCTGAGGGTCGCGGGTTCGAATCTCCGTCACACCAAACATACTCGCCCTTTTAGCCGTGGGGGCGTTATAAAGTGACGGTCAATCCCACTATTCGTTGGTAAAGGAGTAGTCCAAGAGTTGGCGGTGGGTGGTGACGACTAGCTGCCTTCCCTCTAGTCTTACACTGCTAAATTAGCGACGGTTAGCGCAGATAGCCCTCGTGTAGCTTTACGCGAAATTCAAAATAAACAAACAAACAAACTTTTAAATAGTCATAACTTCAGACTTAACAGGTTGAAAACTAGTTTTGTATCTCAGTGGTTGTGAGACAAATTTATAAAAAAAAAATTGCACATACAAAACTTTAACCAAAGCGGATTTTGAATATATTACACAGCAGTATTTCTCAGCCTCTGGTTCGGGTACCGGCGCCAATCCGTCTCAACTACCTTGCTAGTACGCGGGATTTCACGAAAACAAACAAATATGACAGAATATTGATATGTAATTCGTAATGGATTTTCGTTGTACTTGTATTTTAATAGTCTATGACAGCTTAGGTAAGCAGCGAGCTGGTCCTTGTTATTCAAAATGTTGAGAACTGGTGTTATAACGATATTAAATACAACCTGGTTCCTTTTATTTTTTCGGGTAGGACCTATTTTTAGGGTTCAACGATTGTACTAGCAGTATATTATAGACTCCAACAAGGTTATTTGAATTTTCTATTGTACTTGAAAAGATCGATGAAACGGTTTAAGGTGATAAATTCAATCGAAAAAAGAATTTTCTGTTCGTTTTCGATTTACTGTAAAAATGTCAACTGGCTATTGTAATTGAAGTGCATTTTTGTTAGTTATTATCTAATATGACTAAGTCACCAAAACAAACAAACAAAAATTACGAAACTTTTAATGATGGTGATTCCAAATACATTATGCAGTCAGGTTCATTGTCCAGGTTAGACAAGGATGGAATACCACGTTCTGGGCAGTTGGATACCCCTACCCACGGTATAACAAAATATAATCTATCTAGAATTAAAGGTCGTGACTCTAGTCTATGAAAATGCTGGTTACATAAATCTGACCCCGAGAAGAGGTCAAATAGAGGTTATAAAAGGTCACTCGTGGATTATGTTTAATAAAAATGTCAAAGTAGCCGTTTATATGTATCAGAAGTTAGAAATATATATATTTAAACGCATTATGATTTGCGTTAACGCCATTTGAAGGTCATCAAAGTCATTTATAAGATTCTAGTTAGGAGAATATGAGTACCTCTACACGTTAAAACTTATCGTATTGATGCATCATATGAGAATATGAGTACCTCTACACGTTAAAACTTATCGTATTGATGCATCATATGAGAATATGAGTACTTCTACACGTTAAAACTTATCGTATTGATGCATCATATGAGAATATGAGTACCTTTACACGTTAAAACTTATCGTATTGATGCATCATATGAGAATATGAGTACCTCTACACGTTAAAACTTATCGTATTGATGCATCATATGAGAATGGTTTCCCACTTCCTATAACATATGATTTTTTTCTTGTTTTCTAACAGGTGTATTCATATCGAATCCAGATTTTTAGTGTTGTAAACTCTCAAGCTTATCCCTGAACCACCAGGGGGGGTCAATCAGTTTTTGTAATAAATGACCTCTGTTGACCAAATTCAGGTAGTTTAAAGTGAAAATGTTTAAGCAAAAATAAGATGCATCATTTCTATTTAGTTTCTTGTGTTATTTGCATCCTTAATTACTTTAAAGACTGTTATATAATTAAGCCAAGAAAAGAATGCATCTTTTAGTAAAACTGATGGAATGTATATTATAGAAAAATAAATAGCGACTGATGGAGGCAGTCTTTACACTGCACAAACTTTTGACAAAATGATTGAAGGAAAAAAAAAGAAGAAAATGGATAACATGCGTTAACACTGAGTAATAATAGTTGCTATGGTCTCAAACCGAACTACTAGTGAAGAACGTAGTTACAATTACCACGAATGACGTAATAATTTAGATCCTTAATAATATTTCACAGTGCGTAATTAAACCATGTATGTATATGAAACACAGATGTCGCCCTAAGTAAGAAGAACTGAACCACACTTGTTGACGTAAATAGTATGTGCTCATTTATTTATTGATAAATCACAGAACCTTTCAAGTTTTCTGGTAATAACAGTTAACCAACATAGTTATCGTAGTCATCTCTTTACCTCTGCTTAGACCAAAATATAGAACACGACACTGGGAGGAATATTATTTTACCCAGTGATAAGGTTACAGCTTTATGCCAAAATATAGAACACGACACTGGGGGAATATTATTTTACCCAATGATAAGGTTACAGCTTTATACCAAAATATAGAACACGACACTGGGGGAATATTATTTTACCCAATGATAAGGTTACAGCTTTATGCCCATGAGGAATTTCTATTTTCAAACTTGTGTTCCAATAATTTCTTAAAATACATAACACATCACAATGAAATAAAGAAAATCACCTATTCTATCATACAATGATGAAATAAAGCTTAAATTACTTACAATTCGTATACTAAATGACCTGTGTCCACCAAAGTCATTAAAATATTTTTAAATAAATATGTGTGGTCTTTAAAACTGCCTACTTTATTCATCATATATGTTTATATGAAATCTAAACCATTAGGTTTACTGAAATATACATTATTTTCTTGGATTAATGATATCAAAGTCTTTCAGGTAGTTAAAGGATGCAAATAACTCGCAAGTAACACAAAACACTAAGTAGGAATTAAATTAAGAATTGAATACATTTTGTCGAGGTAGGAGACTTCTTCAGCTAAAACAGCTAATGGGCTGTCTTCAGATGTGGTGAATGCAGTTAAAATAAGGAAGTTTAACATAAGGGTTTATAAATATTTGAATGATCAGGACTGGGTTTGAGTGTCTTATTTTAATTTTTTAGTTTAGTGTCACTGATTGGATGGCCTAGACGGACCATTAGGTCCCTTGTTGTCCTTCATTATAGGCATTTGTATATTAAATAATATGACATTTAAACTGAAGCATGTGTATAGGACGTAGTTCCAACTATTACGAATGTTGTAATAATTGAAATTCATAATTATATTTCATAGAAGGTAATGAAAACTTTACAGATGGGTCTGTTTACATGTACACAAACCTTTAATGATATAACATCTAAAAAATCAAAAGTGTATAAGGCGTCAATGTTCTCAAAAGAAACCACAAAAGTTTTGCCGTCATTCTTAGTAATTTCGAAATGTTTATAATAATCCTACAATCATAAATTAAGTTTCCAACACCACATCAATTTATTTTTGTGTTGTTTATCTGTTGCAGAGGATAAAAAAGACTAAAGATCAAGGTGAAATATATTTTAAAAAATGTAACAAAGAGAAAGGATTCGGTTTGCTTGGAATTTCGTGCAAAGCTACTCCGGGGCTAACTGCGATAGTTATCCCTAATTTAGTACTGAGAGACTAAAAGAAAGGCACCACCACCTACCGCCAACTCTTGGGCTATTATTTTACCAACAAAAATGGGATTAACCTACACATCATAACGCCTCTACACCTGAAAGGATGAGCGTGTTCGATGACAAGATTCAAACCTGCAGATTACGAGTCGATCGCCCTATCCACCAGGCCATACTAGGCCTAAATGAAAGGAAAACAAACATTACAAATGTTATTATCCAGGACATTCACTACAACACACATGTTGACCTAAGTAACGAGTACTATATTGCACATTATAAAGTAAACACTGTTGTCTATATGCTCCTTTATTGTTTCATACATTAGGAAAATGTTCATGTTTTGTGTTTAAAACAGTGAGTCAACAGATCTATCGTTGTCATCCTTTTGTATACAAATTGGAACTAACAAAATGTTACTTTATACCCAACGATAATGTTTCGACTTTATGTAAGTTTAAATTTTTAAATATTTTCTACGGTACTTTCTTAAAAAACACATACCAAATATATTTGAATACACGTTTTAAATGGCTCCAATGCGGTACCTTCAAATTAATTATTTTGGAAAATGGAAAATTTTAGAATGTTGACCTTTGCTGAACTCTACGCGACATTCGCACATCTTAATCAATTTCTACATATATTTATGCCTTTTTAAACTTCGTAACTCTAAATGAATATTGTGATTATTTTTTAATTTCGCCTCCAAATGACCTCTAGTTGACCTTTTCTCGGAGTCAGATTTATACAACCATTATTTTCGCAAACTACTGTCATATGCCTTTAATCCTAGAAGTATTGTACTTGTTATACCATTGATTTAGATATCTCAAAAAATGAAGCCTTGTTCTATATCTAAGTAATTTTCAACTAGGAATGAAGCTCTTAAAAACTAATTAATACCATGAAATCGATCCTAAGGCGTAGAATCAGACTTTTGGATTGACAGTCAATAGCGCACAACCACCAGTGACTAAATAAACAGAAGCCACTTTTCTATAGATAATACTGAACACTAAAATACAAACGATCATAATGTCAGATTAATCTATTTGTTTGGTCTAATACACCATACTAACATTTCCAACTCATGTTCACTGCCTCCGAAATATATTTGTAATACCATGATGAAAAAAGGCATTTCATACGTTGTTATTGTTTAATGTTTCTGAAATGTATATTTTACACTTTTATTTTATGTGTTTTTCAAAAAAAAAAACACAACGTATAACAAACTAAAAGTATTTTACCTACCTTGAAACCTTTCTCTGCAAAAACCTAAATAGCGATAGTTGACTTAGCAGGTTTCAAGTAAGGAAATGGACAAGCAAGTCCATCTAGCCTTACGATCGAGAAGGAAATTGTTCACGTAAACATCACGTGAGCACCACCCCGTCATCCGCTTTCAGTACATTTCCATTTAACCTCAACAACTCTACGCTTAACACAAACCATACAAGTCTCTGTTCAACGCGCAAAAGTTAAATACTATCAGTTTTATTTTTCCAGCGCCTTGGTACCAATATTTCTGAAGAAGCCGTAGGTGGATATTCTTATAACATCCCTGGTATTTTCCTTATTACACGTGTTCGATTTCTGTGACTGTTAACTGAAATAGCACGTTATCATATAATACTATATAACGAAGTAAATGGTCAAGCGCTGACCTGATCCGAGATTACGTCACGTTTATATATCAAAAATCAACACACGATGTTAAATTTTTTTTATGCACACACACACCTGCATCACGGGTGCTTGGTTAGACAGCTGCACGCACACAGTAAACCATAACAACAACGTCTAGAAATTATCTACACGCTCTAGGGATGGGGTTACGGAAGTGTCATCTGATCAGATCAAGCTCTTCATGGGTCTGTGAGGGTGGAGTTATGGTTTTATGAGGACGCTGGTCTGAGAAGTGATTGCTTTCTCTCGATAAGCTTTAATACTTTTTGGTTGGTTGTTGTTTGGCTGGTTATAATTAAGCACAAAGATACACAATGGGATATCTGAGCTCTGCCTACCACGGGTATCGAAATCCGGTTCCTAGCGTTGTAAGTCCGTAAACATACCGTTGTGCCACAATACTTTTCGAAAGTTGAGAAATGAATGATTATGATCAAAGTCTTTACAAATATTCAATTTCTATAGGTAGCTAGAGAGATAAATACTACTTGTAACGTTATATCTCTATCGCTTTAAATAAGCACAGCTAGTACGATTTAAATCTATGGTTACTCTATGTGCACCCATATTTATTATTTACAATACATTTTACTTGAACTTGAAATATTCAACACGAATGACAATTATTCATGGTTCATACACTAACACATACATGTCGAATTTCTTGAAAAAACTTTAAACATTTGGGTGAAATATATTTAAGCTCATCACTAGAGTGAAATCATGAAAGTATTTGGGGACAAGGGTTGAAATTCTGCCATTATTCATATGTGTTGCCTTTAAAACGTAGTAGTATTACAGAGTTAAACTCATTATATTAAAACGATTTCGAATATGCAAATGAATGAGCAAATCACATGACAACTACAGCTAATATAAAGTCACGATGGAACGAACGATATGTATCAGAACCACATTCTGACTTTGTTTGACGTTGCGTTGGTAGGTAGCGTGATGCCACCAAAAATTGATCGCTTCTGGAAAGGCTATGTAATAGCGCTTTCTGATGCAAAATATCAATATCCATACACTCACACCATGAAGATGTCTCAAGCTCTGGACATAGAATTTTCACAACGGGAATATTCCGTGTATGTACTTAATGGAATCTGAAAATAAAAGAATATGGATCAACTTGGGGTACAGGACCTTATATAAAAAACCTGTAACAAGTCTTACCCCAGCTGTGATAAGCAACATGCAGCAACTTGTGACAGGTGAGTATCAACAAACGCAAAGGCCAGTGGCAAAAGCCAACCACGTCATCAAGATGGATCTCAGTTTGTAAAAGTGACACATGTCAAGTATACACGAGTTCTTCTATGATATATCATTCCAGTTTCCACATACATCAAGCAGCTGGAGACATACAGGTGAAATCGACAAACGCAATACGAATGGGTTTCTGAGCGAGCGGACTGTTGAAACAGGCGCTCGGAAACCGTCGTCCTCGTAAACAAGAAAGAGTATGGAAAGCCAGAAAACAGGGAGTTGTGTGCTTTGGACATGACAGTCTCACGATGAAGTCTTTTGCAACTGATACTACGCTGCAGGGCTATTGTCAAGATTCATGGTCGTCAGACAGTGCATGACCAGACGTGGCGACATGGATTGTGGTGACGTGATGAGGAGCCAAAACGTTTTGACATAACGTCCTAAGCCCTCTGTATTCATAATTAAAATTACTAACTTTTTTCTGCCGGAATGTTAGTTATGTAGAAAGTTCTGGAGGGGAAAAGTCACTCAAGTACGTATAGCCAAAGACTCAATACCCTTCCTACTTTTTGAAAAATAGTTCCTTATCATCGAGTTTTACTAAAGTGTGGACAGCAAAATATGTTTCAAATCATGGAACTGGAGCCAGTAGTGGATTATAATCATATTAATTCTTGTATCATTTATTGTTTAAAAATGTTAGTTAAGTTAGGTGATTAAGTGACAAAGAGAAAGTACACATAACAACGGAAAGGGGGGATAGGACAGTATTGTACTTATGTGATTGTAGGAAAAGGCTTAGGATGTAAAGAGAAACTTCTATAGGAAACTTTCCGAAGAGCCTTTTAAGCCCTTGCTACAAGTATACCACTGATAAAAACTAGGATTTCGTTTCATAGGTTTCTAGTTTTAAACTATGGATTTCATCATTCAATTCTTTCGAAGTTTAAGTACATTTATTCAAAAATATTTGATGCGTGTGTGTGTGTGTGTTTCCTTGTAGCAAAGCCACATCGGGGTATCTGCTGTGTCCACCGAGAGGAATCGAACCTCTGATTTTAACGTTATAAATCCGAAGGCTTACCGCTGTCCCACCGGGGACAAAAAAATTTGATATTAAATACCTGCCACTTGTACATTACGAAATTTGCATACAAAAAATTTAAGATATTATTTTTCGGGAAATTCTGTTTGTGTGTTGTCTAATTATCTATTAATTTGCTGATGTACAGATGTTAATTAAATTGTCTCTTCGTAGAATTCTTTTACTTCTTAGTGAATAAGGTTAAGAAAATCCTTCAGACATTTTGCAAATTGAAATAACGGATATTAGAAATAATCGCTAAGTTTCATTTTACTGAAAAAAAATAAAAAAATATAACACTAAAATCTGCAGATCAAGGAAGTAGATAGAATAATAAAAGAGGAGTTTAAACAAATAGACAAATTCAGGGACTCGTTTGTAAGCGAAGATAGGTAATTCTGGGTAACTGGTGAGAGTATGGTCACCTGCGAATAACATACAGTATTTTCTGAGAGCCTAGCCATCATATTGCATATAGAATACCATCTTTCTATGTAGATATGGAACTAGAGTGCATATTTAATTACTACATTCTGTCAGGGAAGCTAGCTTAAATAGTCCAGCTGTTTCACTAGAAGCATTTCACACCAACGTACGTCTTTTACAAAGTTGTGTTTCAGTAAGTAACTTTGTGTACTCACTTCCCTGTATTGTTATAATCAAAGCAGATTAACTAATGCTTCGCATTTGCTACTTTTTGCTTTATTTCATTATTAATAACCTCAAGAAAATAATGTGTATGTAATTAAGGCTGTTTTCCTGAGAGATTAAGAAGTCCGAAAAAAACAAAAACACTGAGATGACATGAATCATGGTTATACGATATAAATGAAACTGAATTAATTTTATAAGCAAAACACTTATATTTCCCACCTATAATACATGTGTGTGTTCGTATAGTAAGAGCAACTTGTAATTAGTAAACTTTGTGGTTGGAGCACAGAACAATTCAATTAGTTTGTATTTTTAAATGTTGCCTGTGGTTTGTCTCATTAGCTTGGTTTAGCATGATTACTGTAGTAGAACAAAAACGTTATTGTCTTATTTATACACGCGCAGTTATTAATTATTGTTTCCATTATAATCCACACTTCTATGAAATGTACAAATACGCGAACATAAGCAGGGTCCTGTTTTTACACTAAGAAGCTGAATAACATTAATTAATTTTGGATGATACACAGGCCCTCTCAGAGGTTCAGATAAGCCTGGGCCACTTCTATCTTTAGAGGCCTCTGGCTATAATAAAAATAAAAATATGATGACCACATGAAAACAAAATAAGACAATCAGTAGCCCCAAAGAAAGGTGATAAACAATTTGAATACTTAATTTGTATATATAATTTGCAGCTCTAAGCGGAGAGTGTGAGTTAGATTTTGGTCTGATAGAGAAGCACATAAGAACAAGTCGCAAAACTGAACAAATGCAAAAATAATAATAATAATAACAAGTGTCTAAAGTTGAGGCCCTCTTTGAGCTTGATACCCGGGCCAAATAGCCCCCCCCCCCCCCATAATTGGCCTTATGATAAAACCATCTCATGAGAAACTGTCAATTCGAAATTATCAAGTTTTGGAATACTGTAAGTGGTGACTTGATTTGATCAAGTAATTTACACTCTCATAAACAGGTAGTGAAGCACCAAAAATATTGTTACCAATACGATATTCTCGGGTGAAACTGAAATAAACAGATAAGTATTAAATCCGCAAAAAGAAAAATTCTTAATATCTGTATGAAGAGCCCCAATAAATAAGATCAATTAACGGAAGAAGATAGAAACAACTGCTTCACGTTGAAGCAAACAAGACGGAATAATGGCAACGGGAAAAACAAAGATGTGTGATATATATGTAAATCTTTTAAAAAATGATCAGCTAATCTATATTCACGGCAACTAGGACAAAAAACTTCGCTGATCTCTTTATTTAATTAAGTTAACCATGGTTGCAGCATATCCGTCCCTTCATATGTCCAGCACATTCAAAATGGAAAAGAAATTAAAAACCTATATAGTTTGGTGGTCACTTAAAAAGACAGTCACAACCATGCTATACAAATCCTAATTATGAGAGACCACCTAAGAACAGGATATAGAGTATTTCACAGCTGGGTACATCCTGTTCACATAGAACGTCTGTGACACTTAGGTACACTGGTTTCTAACATGTGACTATCGAATATTAGCGGTACACGGTCGATTAAAGGATACATTAAGCAAAACATAATCCGAATATGAACAGCAAAATATAATAAAGCAAAAATCGTTATTCATACGACTAACGCTTGATTGCTGGGAGTTTAAACTAGCTATATATTCTATAATAAGTATATTCTATGCTTATATTAACAGACTTCTGGTTGCTGGAACAGGAGAAAACACATCGACACAAGACGAAGACAAAGGCAAGAATAATGATGATACCCCCACTGTTTATTGTTCCTACTGCGACATACACATTTCTACATAATCTACTTTCATGATCATTCACATTATACATTCAAGAAAAATATAACCTAACTCGTACCATTCCTCTAACCAGCGTAGAACTCACATTCTATGGAGAAGTGATACAGAAAAGAACCAAGCCAATTTAAGCTTTACAGAGGGATTTTTGTGGTACATAACGTTTTTTTAAGATAGAGATTAGTGCAAGTTTATGACCTTCCATATATTGTTTGCAGCGACGTCATGGACATTTTAAGAAAAGTATATGAGGATACCTAACTACACGTAATATGTACTACAAAGGATACCTAACTACACGTAATATGTACTACAGTTTTGTAAAATTACCTCAATATGTTTGTTTGTTTGCAATTAAGCACAAAGCTACACAATGGGCTATCTGTGCTCTGCCCACGACGGGTATCGAAACTTAAATATGAGGAATCGATTACGATAACTTGTAAAACAAATTATAAAAATGAAAACCAGATCTACATTGCTTGATAATCAGTGTCTACGATAATAAAATTAATAATACAGTAATATTACCATATATGCAAGGTGTAATTAGTAAACTTGCCAATGTATTCAGAAATAATAATTTTATTTCTATTTTTAAACCATTTAACAAAATCAAAACAATACTTCCTAGCACTAAAGATAAAAAAAAACGTTTTAGAGAAAAAAACGTATATATCCAACTGTTTGTTTGTAATTAAGCACAAGGCTACACGATGGGCTATCTGTGCTCTGCCCACCACGGGTATCGAAACCGGAATTCTAGCGTTGTAAGTCCGCTGTACCACTGGGAGGAATATATCCAATTAGGTGTGAATGCAACAAAAATATTCGAGTCAAACTAAACGTAATTTGAAATATCGTCTTACTGAACATTAAGGTTATGTAGTAACAAGAAAATGATACCTTCTCCTCTTGCTGAACACATTGTTGAAACAAATCATTCAATACAATGACATGAAATAATAACTTTAAGTGAACCTAATACTCAAAGTAAATTTAACACTAGAGAATCAATAGAAATGTTGTGCTGTAAAATAAATAATTCTTTGTTAAATAGAGATGAAGGGTTAGCTGGTGATAATGTACAATTTTGGAAAGAAATATTGACTTCTTATGTAGAATATTCATATCACCCTTATAGATTACAATGAGTTTAAACCATTTTCTTTATCAAGTTACCCGATTGTCATGTTGGTTTTTACTCCTAATGATGGTAGCGTAAAGCTACCGAAACATATTTGTTTGTTTGTTTTTGTTTGTTTTGAAGTTCGCGCAAAGCTACACGAGGGCTATCTGCGCTGGCCGTTCCTAATTTAGCAGTGTAAGACAAGAGGGAAGGAAGGCAGCTAGTCATCACCACCCACCGCCAACTCTTGGGCTACTCTTTTACCGACGAATAGTAGGATTGACCGTAACATTATAACGCCCCCACGGCTGAAAGGGTGAGCATGTTTGGTGTGACGGGGATTCGAACCCGCGACCCTCAGATTGCGAGTCGAGCGCCCTAACCACCTGGCCATGCCGGGCCTACCGAAACATGTAGAGTCTTTTTAATTTTGGCCGCCACCCAAATATAATATAATCAAAAAATACCTAAGGTGTGAAGAAAAGATGCGGCCTTAAAAGGATTGAACGTGCGACTTAAATAAACGAAATCAAAATTGGCAGCCAAACTGGTAGTTTCACTTATAGCATTG